CAATCTGTCTTTCAATTATATTTTGTGCACAGTTGGCAATTTATCGACAATCTATCACACAAAATATGATTTAAAGTTATATGATAGATTGTCGATAGATGGCCAACTGTGCACAAAATATAATTAAAAGCCACGCGTTATTTCGGGACGCCCATGGGCGCTATTTCGAAATCATAAATGTCATTTTTAAAAGTTCCAATTTTCAAAATAATGCCCATGCTCGTTATTTCGCGGTTTTACGGTATAATCAATAACAATAATCAAAAACTCTTTCTAATAATTATTTGAATCAAAATTATACTAAAAGCAAATTAAAGATTTAAGGTCTAACTTCAAGATATTTGTAGATCTTTCTGAGTACTATTATCAATAAAGACTTTATATATAAAATACTGAAAAGTAGATGTATTTATGCTAGTTTGTATTTAGGATTAAACTTTTCTTTTGAAGTAGACTTTGTTTCATATATTTGGTACCCAAGTCAGAAGATTTATTTTGGTAACAATAGTAGTAAAAAACTTCTAGCTTAAGCACTAATAGCTTTTAGAATAATAAATAACAACTAGAAATACTTTTTTTTTTTCAATATTAAAGTAACCTCTTGGCCATTTCCTTTTATTCAGTTATTAGTTAATATTTACTATACAATAAGCTACACTTTCAGAAAGCCTATATTGTATATATATTTGGAGAATACATACTAGCCACATGTACAACTTTTGATTGCCTATTTAAGTAGTTCACTTATTACTAAGTTTTATACTAGATATCATATCTGCAATCTGATTAAAGGTTATCTATTTAAACCCTCTGCATCTATAGTGCTAACCTATTTAACCAAGTGAGAATCTATTCGAACCCCTTATTTTCAGACATCTGGTTTAGGATTTTAAAGCAGACTTTAACTATTTAAAGAACCTTTTATTTTCAAAATAAACCTGCTAGAGCTTTCTGTACCTACAATCTGGCTAATCTAGACTTTAGTAACTTATGCCAAGTCCAAGGACAAGTACTTGCAAGCTAAAGCCACTACTATTATCTACTTCTGCCCTTGTAGAGTTTATCCAAACCCAGTATCCACTTTACAGACTATTTTTTGTACTTTCTGAAGTTCTAAACTACCAATTCAGATGGTCTGGAAGAGCTATAACCTGCTCCTGGTCTCTATGATTGGGTTCTTTTCCTTTGGTTACTCTCCTAACAGCTTGGTTGGTGGAGTGTCTTGCCAAACACTTCGGTCTTATTCATTTATCCATTTTTTTAATAATAATCCTTTACATAGTACTATCAAAGATCTGTGCTACCTCTCTACTCGAGTCTTGCCAAGTAGACATCCAATCTTCTAGTTCTTTAAGTTTATAGTGATTTGAGAACTTAATCATATAACTCATACATTGTACAAATACTCTATGATCTCTCAATCTTGTTGATGCTACCAAGATTACAGAGATCCTATTTTAACCGATTGACAAAAGATAGTAGTATTATACAAGTAAATTTTTAAAATTCATCACTAGTAGGTTTTAAACTCCCTACTTATTCAACATATCACTTGGAGGTATATTAACTTAACTATTTCACTAAGTTACCATATCCTAAAAATACTTTTCTGTTTTGAATACTTGCAAATATGAGATATTTTTTGCTTTGATACTTTTGGCTATAATTTTTAACAAAAAGTAAAGAATTTGGCAAATCTTTTCTAAAAGATCGATATTATTTATTACTTCTATATCAAAAATTATATGATAACAAATTAATATATATAAAATAGATAGTACTAGTAAATTTTAGTAACTGGATTAAATATTTTAATAAAATATCTTTATGTATCATATTGTTTAGGATATACAAATATATGTAGCTGTTGAAAATTTGAAGAATAGTAATAATTATATGAAGATTTAAAGTTTTTATACTTCCGAATAATAATATGAATTTAATTGAATAAGTCAAGCAAAATATAATAAGATATACAAATATCTTGTAGTCATTGTATATAATTTGTAATCTTTAGCATGAGTTATAATATATTTTATTTTTTTTATATTAAGTTTTTTACAACATTTTAATATAAGTAGTTTATTACTCTATATAATTAGAAGTTTTATTTGATTAGCAGGTTTTCTTCTTTTTAGTAATAGTTTTTTATAGATTTTAAATCTGTTTTTAGTTTTCTTTTATATTAATACTCATTTTTGTATATGTATTTATTTCTTTCTATCCTTTTTTGTATCTTTTTTTTTTCTCTATTATAGAGCAGAAATCTTGATAAGGCTAGCTACATATCAACTGTTGATTCTGGAAAAAATAAATCTAAAACAAGTTTTAAATTTTTGAAGAAGATTAAGTATGACTTTGGCAGGTTACATCTTAGTATAATACAGTAATTTAATAATTTGCTCTGATTGCAAGTAAAAACTTTGGCAACTGCAATATAAAACTAATATATCATCTATATAAAATTCATTTTTTTTCAAATAAAAGTGAACAAGATTGCCTAAGAAAAAAAAATACTTGTTTTTATTTATATTTGTTTTTAATATATTTTTTAGTTTTTTTTATTTTTTTCTACAAAAAGATGTTATTAGATTAACAATATTCTATTATAGAATAATGATTCTAATAAAATTATTAATATTTATCTAGTAATTTTAAAACTTAAATTTTTTAAAAAATTAAAAATTTTAAATAAAGAAAAATTGATTAGATAAGTTAATCTTGAACATATTTTAGTATTAAAAAGATAAAAGATAAATAAGAAAATTTACCTAATAATTAAATACTAATATTTTTATAATAATAATAAAATAATCAAAATAGTTTGATCTTGTATAGTAACAAATTAATAAAAAATATAATAGTTAGCAAATTATATAAATTTTATATCAAAAATAAAGTAAAAACAGGACCACTAAAGTAAAAATAAAAAATGAATAAAAGAAATAGTTATTTAAAATTAATTATTAGTTTGTTTTAACTTGTATATATAAAATACTGTATAATAAAGATTATTTAAATTATACAAAATTTTAAACTATATATAATTTATTATTTTAAACAATTATTTAAAATATGCGTAAATATTGACTAGGTTAGTAACAATTTTAATTTCAATACAGTATATAGCTATAATTATTAATTATATTTTTATAACAATTAATATTTATTTTGCAACTATATAGTTAAAAAGGATTAGAATATTAATTAACATACAGTAGGCTAAACCTTTTGAAATAATAATCATTTGTTATATTGAATAATATGTTTCAAACACTATTGAGTCTTTGATATTTGAGATACCAATTTTTGTATTTATTTTGATTTAGCGAGCTCGATATTTTTTTTATAATACTATATTTGCACGAAATAATGCCCGAGAGTTATTTTAAGACAATTTAAGGAGAGCAGAGAATTACTTAGCCGAATGCGAACAATAATTTATTTTTTAGAAATTTTAGGCAAAATCAATTCTTAGCTTTTTTAACTGGTAAATTGTTTGACACGGAATAATGTTTCGAGGCGTTATTTCGTACAGATACGGGTGTACAGTATTTAACTACAAATTGGATGTCAAATTTTTTAGTATTGATGAAATAGGAGTTTGTATTATAATACAATTTAAATAATGAACATATCACAGTGCTTTACTGATCATTAATTCGATAAAAGATTAAATTAGGTTAACAATACAGTAACCAAAAATAACCCAGTGTTATTGTTAATGATGTTATGATAAAATGGGTACGTACGTACGTAAGAAATTTATGACGTCTTTATTAAATTAATTACTTAAAAATTTAGCGATACTGATTACATCATTTCTTAACAACCACCTTAAAGTTCAAATATTGAAAAAAAATGAATTTGGACATGATTTTTCTTGTAGTTATCACATCTTTTATCGTCGGATTCGTTTTAGACATGATCAGTTCAATTATATTGGATAAATTATTTGCGGAAAAAAAGTGGCAAAATACGGAACAGGATAAAGATCAAGCCAAGAACTTGACAGATTTGGACGATACAAGAAGTGATTATGATAATCAAAATAAGAAAAATAAGGAAATGATAAAGTGCGGGGAGGAAGATGAAGGAACGGATACATTAAGCGAAGAAGAATTTGAAGAAATTAATCAAGCCATTACAGTTGTGAGGGGTTAAATTGGTAGGTAGGAATAGTGTTACACTTTTGAAATATTTTTACAAGTTGATGGTAATAAATATTGACAAATAAAATTAATTATTCAACAGCACCAAATTAATAATAGAAATACCGATGCTTGTTGCAAGTCTTAATTATGATTTATGATTAACGTTAATGATTAATAATCACCCACATGAATTCAGTAAAATAAGTTTAATACATTACTACTCTAGACACTACTCTAGACACACTACTCTAGATACTACTCTAGATACTACGCTAGACATTACTCTAGACAGCGAGCACATCAGAACATTTCAAAGAGAAATAAAAAAAGTTCAAAATTGCCTTTAATCAAGTTCTTGATATATAAAGATACGAAGGAAAATAAAAATGATCAAAAACGTACATTACAGATAAATACATACGATGTGTATGTACTTGAAGTTTCGTTTTTCCGAGATCCATGAATTTCCAATTTAATCTTAATGAAGCAACAAATAATGAAAGCGGCCCAGGCTTATAACTACATGACCAAGTTATAAATATACACGCATTCTGAACGCCAATTAGAGCTTAACTAGATTAGGTCATCGTTATCTCCTAACAGGAAAAGATTTTTTTCATTGTAACTTGTACCGGGATGAGAAAGAAGTTTTACAATTACGAGAGGTATTTATGTATAATATTTTTTTAGAAACCTTATCAACTATTAATTTATGATTTATGAAAGAATGGTGTTTCACAACGATCTCTAATTATTAAAGGACGATTATCGTTATCAGTATATATATTTTCGTCGATTTGTATTAACTTTTTTGGAACCTTCGATTTCACTTATACATATCTGATATGCCATTCTAGTACATACTGTTGAGTAAGGGCTGAAAAAGTGTTATTGTGTTAGAAAGAGGGAAAGAAGTACATGCCAATGTGTGCATACGTACGTACGTACGTATGCAAATTGCACCTACATGTTTTTTTATACCTGAATTGAATTGAATTGAATTGAATTTGTAATTAACCAATGGTACGTATTCATATTTTGATTACTAAGAAAGTCTTCAAGATTGCAAATTGTTGCATTTTTGATCAATTTTATCAATTTTATTAACGCATGTATACGTATATAAAGATCCAAAATTCCAACGATTGTCCTCCTTATTTTAGTTTGTTATGCGGTTACCCCTATAACTATACTTATCTTAAGCATCAATTGTCGCTTAGAAACCCTCGGATTTTGTTTACGTACCGTGTGACCAAACGGAAAAAATTTCTGGTTTGAAAACAAACACGAATCATGTGATTATAAATATTGACATTACGTTCGAGTAACATTCGAGTGATTTCTTTTTATATATACGCGTGATAAAAGAAAATTTGTAGTCGTTATCTGCTAATACTGCAATAAATACAGTGATGACAGAATATTAGAGTCAATTAACATTCCATGTATCTGCTGTGAAATTAGAACGTTACAACATGAATAACTATATACTTACGTACGTACTTATTCATGTACGTAAGTATATACATAGTGTACGAAAAAGTCCAGAAATCATGTGTTGAACTGCCACGTTTATTTTCAAAAATAAGATTCGATTAATAATGTTTCTTATGCTGATAATATCACTATTAATATTATGTCCGGTTTGATGATGAAACTGGTTATTACTGGCTTAGCAAATATATGATCAACATAAAATACGTACGTACTGAGATTATTGGAAAATTCCCGTTACTTCTTTTTTCTTTTTAAAAAAATTTTATTCCTTTTTTTTTCGCGTAAGCAAGTAACATTATGAGTTGTCGACAGCCTTATAGGTCTTGGAACGCTGCTGCCCTTGGTTTACCTCAGAAAGTCGAGGTTGCAATATTTATATTATATATTTCACCATCCCCATTTATATTCTTTGAATGTTCTCTAAAACTTTGAATTCTTTAAAAAAAAAATTTTTTTTTTTAGCATTGTCAGCAGGAAACTTCTGGTTCTACTAATGCTTATGCGAGTAACTTTGGAAAATGTAAAACACGTAGAAATACATGGCATGAATCTGGCCAGCAGAAATATAGTAAGTTATTTGTCAAATTCATTATGCCCAACGATTTATTATAAACATGGCTGTGCAACAACTAAATTAATGTTAGACAATGAATGTGAAGGCGCCCAAATTTATAAGGAATCATCTCGAGAGTATTCTAAGTCTTCTGATAAGCCCGACTGGAGATCTAATCAGCCTTCTTGGAGACCTACTTCATTTTCTTCACACGATCGTCCTAAACAGATGAGATCTATTTCTACCGGTGATGGTTTTAACACGCGTAATAATTTTGACAACTCGAGCGAAAAACCTTGGCGACCGTTTACTTTAAAAGAAATTAATGATGATGGACGTGTAAGACTATCCTTCTTTAAAAAAATTTGATTTTTTCTTGGTATTCTGTTGATTTTTATTTATTCGTTTTTACTTTTTATTCATCAGGATCACGCGCCACGTTCTGAGGATGGGAAGGTAAAGTCCATTTCACACCTATCCTCCTTTGTATACGACTAATTTGTTATTAATTTTTGTTTATTTTTATCAGAATTATGAGACTTCACAGTACTTTACTAATCATGAAGAAAAAACCGTAGGATATTATCTTAATTTTTATTTATTCGTTTATTTTTTGCATTTTGTTTATTGATATTTTAATATATATATATATTCTTTTGTTTAGAATTATTCTTCATCTTGGAAATCCGCATCTCAAGAAAATCTTATGGTACTTTGTTCCGCATCTATATACTATTAATTTGATATGCTAACTTTTACTCTATTTAGAATGTTGATGATAATGATGCATTCATATATTCCGGCGAAAAAACTGTAATATATTTATCTTTTATAATTTGATTTATTGCAATTCACTTGTTAAACTAATTTCGATCCTATTATCAATAGGAAGAGAAATGTGATAGCGCTACTAATCAGAATAAATCTGACTTGCCGAGAGTGGTAATTAATATTTATACATTCGTGTAATTTAAAAATTATAAATTTAAAAACTATATTTCTTTTTTACCTTAGATCACCGTGAAAATTTCACAATTATCATTGACCGATAGGTTGGTTTAATTGATTTTATCACTTTAATAAACTTACCTTTCTAACATACGATAATCTATGTTATGTAAGTGATCATTCCGATGAGACTATCACTCCGCAAACCCCTGAACAGGTGCTAACCAATCCGACTGATGATCCTCCTCTACTTATCAATTTGGATGAACCTCAACCTGCTCCGGAACAAGGAAAAAATAAAATCTCTGAAGATATTTTTTGTCTTGATTGGGAACAATATCATTATTCTATTTTGGAAAATGAGCTACGAGCTTCTAAACAAAATCCTCCACAGGTATGTTTCATTTCATTCTTATTATTAAACTTTTATCTTATTAAATTTTTTTTCTACTATTTCTTTACAGTCAACTCGATGCAAATTATCAAAAGAATTGATGGAATTTGATGGCTTGTAAAATCTTTTATACTATTCTATCCTACTGAGTTGCTGTTGATAATGTGTTTTAATGTGCTGTAGTGATATAATCGCAATGCTTAGCAATTATGAAATACGTTCATATGTTACGTTAAATATTTTATACGCTAAATATTTTATACGTTAATTTTTTTATACTAAATGTTTATACGTTAAATGTTTATACTCTAAATGTTTTATACACTAAATGTTCATTGTATTAAATATCTAACATGTATATCCAATACGTATATATAATACGTATATAGCTGTATTAGAGATGTTTAGCATCGTCAGTTGTTCACAAATTGTTCTATTGAACTTGCGTGTTAGCAAACCTAGCATCACCTATAAAAAAAAAATACCGTTGACGTCGCTTGTAAATATATCTACGTATATATATAATGCTAAATTGAGAGATCATCTAGTTATTACTAAGCGATTCGTCTATTAAGGAACATGTGACACAAATACTTATGGGCGATGCTAGGGCTGTCCTAGCGTGTTCAGAAATCCGTAGTGTCAATATATATCTAAATTGAGTAATCTAAGTTACGTACGTGCGTTTTTCTTCTATGATATAAGCACCTCACGAAATGGATCGGAGGCAAATTTTTTTAAATAGTCAGAAATTGAATAAATTAACCATGAGTTACCATTTCGATGAACAAATCAGCGATATGCAAACTATCTTTTTTCTTCAAAAATTTACCATTGATAAAGATCGCTCAAGTATTACTTTTTTTACATATCAAGCATAATAAATATAATAAACATATGAATTCTCAACAAATTCTAACCGA